TGCGGTTGGTGCAGGATAGAGCAGGGTTTAGGGCTGTTGTGCATAGGGTCGCTATGAGTCGGAAACGACTCGACGGCACATAACAACAACAACAACGTCTGTGAGACAGCAGGCTGACTTGAGACCCCCTGCACAGAAGGTGCTTGAACTAAAAGCCCTGATCTCTAATCTCCTGCCACTCCAGAGAAAAAGGAAGATATTAAGCTTCAGGAGAAAAAAGTGCATGAGAAACTGCTTGAGCAGAGCACCTGGTCTCACAGACTCAGCCACTTCGTACATGAAGGAGGTCTATAGAGTTGGTGTCAGCAGACTACATCAGTGCAAGATTCCTACGAGACTACAGTGCAAAACAGAGAGTACCTCAAGACTTTAGGAAAGGCAAATTTTCCCAGAAAGAACTCACATTAGAGTAACATTTTAACTTACTAACTAATCAGTAACACTATAAAGGCAGGAATCACAAACAACTTTTGAGGACACAATAGAAATGACTTAACATTTATCAAGAAAAACTTCAGATAATGCACAGAGAGCAGGCAGCAGCTTCACACACTGAAATTAAAAAAAAATTAAGTGTTCTCCAAAAAAAGCAGAGAATATTACAGACCTCATGGACATCCTCCACTCAAGAAGGCAGATGATATGTTAATATGGAGAGACATTCGAACAGCTATGAATGAAAGTACAAATAATTAAAGAAACAATGCAAGCCACAAATAAAGGGAATGACCTAGAGAACAAGGAAAAAATATAATGATGAAGAGTTATTTCAATAGTTACTAAACAAAGTGCAAATTCTGGAAAAAATAATGGAAACCACTAAAAAAGCAAACACTCCAGACATGAAACCAGAAGAAATATATTAATAAGGAGAACCTTGCACATATATGGAATAAAATACCAAAAAAGGAAGAAAGAATTGAAACTATAGATAAAAAAAGTGTTCCGGTTATTGTTAAGTACCATTGAATTGTAGATGACTCAGAGTGACCCTATGAATGAAAGACCTGAACACTTATATAACTTTCATCGTTTCTCCAAGTTTCAAAGAGTTTCTAGAGGCAAGCTATTTTGGAAGTGGATGTCACTTCTGCTTCCAAGTTAGTTTTAATGGGGGAGCTCCACCAAACACTGTCCACCATGAGTAACCATTATTGAATTTGACACATCAGTGTCACAATGTTTAGCATCACACCAACCATGAATTACCTTTGTACAGCAAATGGACAGACCAGTGCTATACCACTTAGAAGAATGTACAAGAATTTTTTAAAAATCATCACAAGATAGAAAGACTACTGCCAAGCAGTACTAGAAATAACAGAAATGCATGAAAATGCAATACAGAATATTAAGACTGAAATGTCAGAATGTCCGACACACTTGAGGACAAAAAAGTAGAACAGAAGAGATGGAGCAGAGAGTTAGTGAGCTGGAAGATAAGAACCTCAATGGAAACATACTAGAAGAAAAACTGAGGATGAGACATAAAGAAAAGGAAGAAAACATTAGATTCATGTGAGATGACATCAAAAGAAATAGTGTAAGTATGATTGGACTTCCAGAATTATGAGGGATAGGGAAATAACTGAGAAAAATTGTTAAAGAGATACTAGAAGAAAACTTTCCAGGCATTATGAAAAATGAGGAAATCAACATTCAGGAAGCTCAACAAACACTAAGTAGACTAGACTAAAAAAGGAAAACATAAAGACATTTCATAGTCAAATTCTCCAATATAATAGATAAGGATAGAATACTGAAAGCAGCATGAGATAAACAAAGAGTCACCTACAAAGAAAAATCAACTTGATTAAGTTCTAATTTTTCAACAGAAACCATGTGAGCAAGTAGGCAATGGGATGGAATATGCAGAAAGTTGAAAAAAATGATTGACAACCAAGGATGCTATACCCAGCAAAGCTCCCTATCAAATACGAGGGAGAAATCACATACTGTGCAGACAAGAAAAAAAAAATAAGGAATTTGTGAAAACAAGACCAAATCTACAAGAATTTTTTTAAAAAAAATTATTTTATTTTATACTGAAAACATTGTAGTAGAACTTTACAAGAACTTTTAAGGGAAGACCTTCTCACAGAGACATCAAAGGAAAGTGGATGGACTATAGTAACCAGAAAATAACAAAAAAAGAAATACTTCCCCTCTTTTTTGTAAAGCAATTTCTGTCTAGTTTAGTTAGCAATCTTTGAGAAATTGGCATTGTAAATAAAACAACAAAAGTTTCTGAAAAAAAAAGAAATACAGCAAAATGACAAAAATAAAACCTGGCCTGTCAATAATCACATTTAATGTGAATGGGCTAAATGCACCAAGTGCCATAACAAAAGCTTACAGAATACTTCTGGGTCTCCAAAAGAAAAAGACTAAAAAGCCAATTACAAAAAAAAGGCAAAAGACATGGAAAGACTTTTCACAGAAGATATTCGGATGGCCAACAGATAAAGAAATTCTCAAAATCACTGGCAATAAGAGAGATGCTAATCAAACTCACAATGAGATATCATTTTACTCCAGTAGCAGTCATAAAGTTTAGCAGGGCAGCAAGTAATAAATGTTGGAGAGGATGTGGAGAGATAGGAACTCTAACAACTTGTGGGTAAGTTTGTAAAGTGGTACAACAACCGTGGAAGGCACTTTGATGTTTCCTCAGAAAGCTGACCATAGAACTTCCATATGACCCAGCATTTCCACTCCTTGGAATATACCCCGAGAAAATAAGAACCAAGGCACAAGCAGAGACTCTTACACCAATGTTCATAGCAATGTTATTCATCATTGCAAGAACATGGAAACAGCCCAAATATATTTCACACAGTGGAATACTATGCAGCAAGTAGGAGTAATGCTTTTGTAAATTACTACCTAAGGAGGGACTGGAGAGCATTATGCTAAATGAATCTAACATAGTATTTGTCCTTAAGAGTCTTAAGGACAAATATTGTGTTAGGCCATTATTGTAGAATGTGTATAAGGATCCAAAGTGTGGTGAGTGGGGAGCAGAGGGATAAGAATGGGGGGAGGTAATCATAGGGTCACACAATTTGATGAATGCAGTAGGGGGTGGTGGTAAAATAAAGGATAACGATCTGGTGTGGAAAAACAATGTATATGAACTTTATAAGTAAACCAGTATCAAAAATTTTGTAAAAAACAAGAAATTAAAACAAAAAACTAGAAAAAGATATCTAACATGCAGAACTCAAAATTATCTGCTTTTTACTTGCATTAAACTTTATTCTTATTCAATAACATTACAGAACGTAGTATTAAATGTTATGACAAACAGAAAAAAAAGGGAAAAAAAGATGACTCAGATGTTTGCCACTGATTGCTCTCTGAAGCCAGTGCCATGGAGCCCCAGCAGATGAAGAGGGGGTAAGTGAAGAGATCTTTATACCATGGCTCATACAAAACAGACTGGTGCAAATCAACCCATGGGAAAGTACCCAGGAAGGAGCCGGCGACAAAAGCTGTACACCAGAGTGCGCCCTCTACCAGAGGGGTGAAAAAAACCACATTTTTACAGGCCTGGTACAGTGACATTCCGTGAAATTAGACATTACCCAAAGTCCACTGAACTGATTTGAAAAATTCCCTTCCAGCGTCTGCTGTGGAAAATTCCTCAGGACTTCAAAAGGGATCTGGGCTTTCAGACCACATATACTGATGCATTTCGGGAGGAAGGTGAGGCCTATCTGATTGGCCTTTTTGAAGACACCAACCTGTGACCTATCCATGCCAAACATGTAACAATTATGCCAAAAGACACCCAACTAGCAGTCGGCATACGTGGATAACATGCTAAAGAATCCACTATGATGGGAAATGTTTCATTCTTTTAAAAAAAAAATCTTTCTGTTATTGATAGTTCTTGAACATCAGATAATTTTTTTCCCCCATGAGGTCAAAAGGTACCTAAGTATATGATTGTGAATGGAAACATAGGAGGCAGAAATCAGGGACTGACAGGTTTTTCCATTTTCATTTGTGTATGAATTTCTAATATTAATGTGGGGACATAAAAATTTCTGTAAGTCAGAAAAAAAAATTTCTGTGAACAAGTTTCAGCAGTTCAAATTTATAGCGATTATAAATAAACCTGTTAAACTTTTCTGGACAATGCCAGCATTTGTGGTTTGGTTTTGGTTTTTTTTTTTTAACAAACAAATTTCTTATTGATGATAACTAAATAGTGTTTGCAGCATTTTTATCATATAGTAGATTCTTATATTCACTATACTTTTCTGAGTTTCCTAATATCAAGGACATGTTTTTGATGTTGTCTGTCTTTTGTGCTGATTTTACGTTTGCTATCTATTAAACATACATTAAACAATAAAAAAGTAGTGGCGAATGCAAATGTCAGAAAAAAGAAGGACTAGTTGTCAGAAATTACAGACTTGGTGACAGAATTGAGGCTGGAGATTCATTGCAAATACCTTCTTTTAAAAATACATAAGACTATACTTTCAGAGATCATTTCTATAGTTTGTTACTAGAGAAGTTTCTCTGATCTTATAATCAAAACCACAAGGAGATACCATCTCCCTCTAGTAGCAGTGGCAAAGTTTAACAGAACAGCAAGTAATAAATGTGGTGAGATAGGAACTCTTTTACATTGTTGGTGAGATTGTACAATGGTACAACCAGTATAGAAGACAGTTTGATGCATCCTCAAAAAGCTGAACATAGAAATTTCATATGACCCAGCTATTCCATTGCTTGGAATATACCCCAAGAAAATGAGAACTGAGGCTCAAAGGTGAACTTGTACAATAATGTTCACAGCAGCATTATTCACCATTACAAGAACATGGAAACAGCCCAGCTGTCCAACCATAAATGAAGGGATTAAGAAGTTGTGGTACATTCATAAAATGGGATACTATGCAGCATGCAGGAGCAATGATTTTGTAAATTACTGCCTAACTTGGGAGGAACTGGAGAGCATTATGCTGAGTGACCTACGTCACACAAGGACAAATACTGTATAAAACCATTACTGTAGAATGAGTGTGAAGATCCAAGGGGTCGGGGGAATGGAAATAGAGGGGTGAGGATGGGTAAGGGGTAGGGTGTTAATCATAGGGTTGCACAATTCTGTGTGTGGGAGGGGTGTAGGAAATGGGAAGGATCTTTTGTGAAAAACAATGTGTTCTAACTTTGTAAAGAAATCAGTATAAAATAAAAAAAAAAAATACAAGCAGTGACTATATTTATGGACCTCATCTGATGATCACAAGAGCCAGAATGAAAATAGCACAGACTCGTAAATGAAGTCATATGATGCAAAGTATCATTGTTGTTGTTCTTATATGCCATTGAGTCGCCTGTGACTCATAGTGACCCTATGTAGAAAAGCCCTAAGTCTTGCTGTATCCTGTGCCAATCTTAGTGTCTCTGACACACCTGCCACCATAATCCCAGTCACTGAATCAATCCATCTCATTGAGGGTCTTCCTCTCTTGTTCTGTCCCTCCATCCTCCCAAGCATAACGTACCCCTCCAAAGGCTGGTCCTGCTTTGCAACATGTCCAAAGTATGACAAACGAAGTTTCAGAATCCTTGCCTCCAAGGAGCAGCCTAGTCTCAATCTCTCTAGGATGAACCTGTTTGTTCTCCTAGCAGTCCATGGTATATTCAATATTCTTCTCCAGCACTACAGCTCAAAGGCATCAATTTTGATTCTATCATATCATCCCTAGTCATTGTCCAGCTTTCTGATACATAGCAAGTAATTGCAAAGATTATGGCCTGGATCAGGCATAACTTAGCCTGCAGACTGACTGGGTAATAATGACAACTCAGAGTATTAGAAAATCAGAAAAGTAAATTGGCATGGAGTTTTAACCTTGTTCTTATTTTGGTATTTGTAAACTATGCAAATAAAATATTTTTGTTATAAATAACAATATTTTTTCTTAATAATACATTTGGCCACAAGAACTCCCAGATAATACAATAATAGGGGAACTCCAATGACCTAATGAGTAAGGAGTTGCACTGCCAACCCAAAAGTGGATGGTTCAAATCCACCAACAGCAGAAGAAAAGATGAGCAATCTCCTCTCATGTGATTTAAAGCTTCTGAAACCCACTGATGCATCAACTTTGAGTCAGTTCTAACTTGATGGCACATAGTAACAATAACAATAATGCATTACTACTGGAATATTGTTGTTAATGGCAAGTCAGAACTGACCCATAGCTGAAGATTGGCCATCCTTCTCTCATGGAGCAGCTGGTGGATTGAAACTGCATGCCTTCAGGACTGCAGCACAGCTTCTTACCACTAGGCCACCAGAGCAGGGAGTCATTTTGGCATCTATAAATGATACCTGACAACTGATATCACTGGAACCCCCTTAGTGATACCACCGTTCGAAGATCTCTAGTTAGCAGCTTTAATTTCCTGTTTTGAATCATTATTGAAGAATGTGCAATAGAGCAACTTCTGTTTAAATAAAAGCAAGTGAAGATTATTGAGGCAAAGAGATGATCCAGACCAGGAGAATATTCCTTGTCCCAGAATGAAAAATTATTGTATCTCAAGACCCTTTCCACACATCTGTTTGTCTAGCATGACAAAGGTTTCTGAGAATAGATTAGAAATCTGCACAGGACAGATCTTAAAGAAAAGAAATACCACCCTTCTGGTATATGACTTAAGTCAACATCAAGTCACATTAAAGGGACTAATATTTAAAAGGCAGTTTTAAAAACTCAAACATAGGCTCTACACTCATGTCAAGACTTTAAAATAGAATTAAAAATATGCCTTTAAAACACCATAATTCACATATTCACTAAGTGCCTCTAGTTTTAGACTCTAATGCAAATTATACTCAAGAAAAATTTTACAGAAAGACTTTTCATTATTATGATAGTGTTTTGCATTACATTTGTAGAACTAGCTGTGTCTTAAAGTGAATGCTTAAGTTTAACTAAAGCAATAGAAACTGAGTAAAAACTTAAATTACATCCCAAGGCCTAATTAGGAGGGTCAGTGCTTGAGATAGCCAAGTTAGAAAAAAAGTGAGTCAGAGAAAGAGGGGCATCAATACAGTAAGCTGCAGAGAAGAAACAAACCATGTTGCTCATAATCAGTAAGACATCTTTCAGACACATAATAAGAAGCCTCTGATTATCATGATATTTTCATTGCTCTCAGGTGCCGCTGAGTCAAGTACTACACATAGCAACCCTAAGAACAACAGATCCGAATCCTGCTCTGTTCTGCCCTACTCTCATCTTCTCTGGCACACTTGAACCCATTGCTGGAGTCACTGTGTCAATTCATCTCTTTGGGGGTATTTCTCTATTTCCCTGACCCTCCACCTTTCCAAGTATGACGTCCCTTTCTAAGGAGTAGCCTTTCCTAACAACATACACAAAATATGTGAGACAAAGCTTTGTCATTCTTGCTTCAAATGAGCACTCTAAGTGCACTTTCTCCAAGAAAATTTTGCTTTGGTTTTGCAACATATTCATAATTAAGTATATTTCTTCTTATTTCAATGTTTACACATCCAAAATTAGATTATTATACATAGATACTGCTGTGCAATTTACCCAAATTGAGAGAATTAATGGAATAATGGTTTTCAAAGCCGAATAGTAAAGACACTGGGTGGGGGTTGGGAGGCATGGTGGACAATCTTAGAAGACATTTTTGTTTGATCTTAATTACTTTACTTCTTCCCCACTGTTTTATCTTTGCCACCTGGAACTGCATCTAGCAAATAGTTAAGTGCATAATAAATTATATTGAATTAAAGAAGAATTTGGCAAAGCAGATTTAGAAATATTATTAATATGGGAGTTCCATTTAGTCTAAAACAGTTGCTGGCTTACAGTTTTCAAAGTTTTCATTAAAATATGCAGTAAAGGAGAGCTTTTATACTATCATAACCACTACCTTAACAATCTTTTTTTTTGGCAGTATATTAAGCATTTGCAACAAGCCAGTGAGGTCTGATGGTGTCATCCACATGAAATGGTGTCCACTAGCAGCTCCACCAGACACAGATGGGCAATTTGCTTCTGTGTGGTTTACAGCCTCCAAAAACTCACTATTGGTTCCAATTTGACAACAGTGCATTTGCGAGCGAGAGTCAAGCTCGGTACGTCCATCCATCTCATCAAGGGTCTTTATGTCTTTTGTGTGGATCCTCCACTTTTCCAAGCGTGATGTCTTTCTGCAAGGACTAGCCACTCCTAGCAAAATGCCTAAAGAATAAGAGATGAAATTTCACCATCTTTGCCTCCATGGAGTACTCTGGTTTCACCTTCTCCAAGACAAGCTTGTTTGTTCTCTTGGCACTCCATGGGATACCAGAGCCATGTCCTCCTTAGTCTCATTATCATGCTTCTTTCCTCCTACCTGGTCTATCTGATCTCTTTCTTCCTGTAGACCTTAAGTTTAAGTCCTGTCAGTGCAACCATGCTTGTATTTCACTGCATTGCAAAATCCTCTACAGTGATGTATATTTATACTCTTTTAACATCTTAAGCCTCAAACTTTCTTTTTGCCCACTTAATCTATTGTGGTAATTTGTTTCTCTGTGTGCTGTCTGTGTTTAGTCCTCAGCTTCTGTGATTAAAGCTTTCTCCACCCCTCCTTTTCAAAGACTAGCTTTGGGGGATAATTTTTTCTTTAGAGTGTCAGAAGCCCCAAGGGTAATCATTGTCTCAAGAACAATATAGCATGTGTTGTCAAATTTAATAAAT